GTACGGTTGCCAAGTCAGTAACACTTGTGTCGAACGCTCTTAGGGTACAAGGTTTCAACCCGTGTATGACAAGGATTTTTTTCTTAATTCTTATTAAGTTAGAATAAATTTTCAATTACTTTTATTTATACATTTTTCCAAAAATTATAGCAATATAAATATAAAATCGAGAATTTTTTCATGGAAATCGTACGTTTTTCTTTAATTTTGATGTCCGTTTTCACCACGAAAACAAGTCCAGAGGTTAGGTTTTTTTTTTCAAAATAAAGTAAATTACATAAGTTTTAATTTAATGTATATATTAAAGTGTCAGCCCTTCCCGAACATTTTGTAAAGTTAACTTGAAAAAGTTGTCATTTTGGATCCCTTCCTATGGGCTGGTAAAAAAATTTTCGAAAACTAGCGATTTTTAAATTTTTATTTTTTTTGGGGGATTTCCCCTGTTTACGAGGAACGAGGGACTTTTTTCAATTTTTGAGGGTAATGTCTTCGACTAGATACGATTTGTGATCTTTTGACGTATCATTGAAAGAAATCCGTTTGTAGAGAGCTGAGATTGAGCGTTCACAGACACAAAATAAAAAAAAACACATAGTAAAATTAATACCTTGTCTGCTTCGTATCGAAGCTAAAACATAGCGTTAACTTTAATATCATATTCAAATTATTTTTATATGCATTTGAAAATTCCGCAATTTGACAAAATTTAGCAAAGATGTACAGAAACAACTTTACTGTTTGGAAAAACTTGGGAAGTTTAAATTAAAAATTTTCAATTTAATTTGATCACAATAGTTCATATACGCAACACAATCAATTATAAATTCCTAGAAATAAAAATACTTGGTTTAAACTGTACAAATTGCAATGGAATTTAACAAACTTCAACCCTCCAATTTGTAGTTACACAATATGTCTATTTTTAACATTTTATTACATTGTAAATTGAATATATACTCTGCATTTACATAATTTTCATTAAATTAATTATCTTTATAAACATAATAATATTTTAATTATATAATAATACTTCAATTCAAACATAAACAATAGGCCGATTATTAAATTCTTGTAATTCTCTATCATTTTTATTTATTAATACACCACTATCATGAGAACGCAAATTTCGGAATTTGGCCAACTAAAAATAACAAAATTATTAATAAATGAATTTGTATACCAAAAAATAAGTTTATTGTTTATGCACGAAAAATTATTTAAAATTACTTGTTTTCTCGATATTTTAAATGGTATTGTGAATGCAATCCACGTGACACTTTCAGCGTAAGGCTCCGTAGTTAATGAACCAGGATATGCAAAATAATCGATCTGATCAGCTGTCTTTTTTAACCAAAAGAATTCTTCTCCTATTAATCTTATTACGCTAGAGCCGGGCTCAATAAGAGATTGAAGATCGTTGATAAAATTTGTCATTTCTTCGTCGTCTTCTTCTGATATCTACATAAAGACAGTCAGTAGTTACAAAAACATGCAATGTTAACTATCAATTGATTGTTCATCATTTATATTTAATCTTTCCTCTAAAAATCATCCCCAGTTAAAAAAAATGTATTAAATAACCTCGAGAATTAAAATTAATTATTATCAAAATTTATCATGAATACACTTGGGTAATTGTGATCCATTTAACATTAAGTCAAAAATAAAAAACAGTAGCACAGTGTGGACGAGGCATAGATGGGACAAGTATAGATGATATCTGACAGTGATTAAAATCACTATCATAAGAAACGCTTCGATGCAAATCTGTAGATAGTGTTTCATTTAGAGAAATTGGTGGATTATTCCAAAAGCAACATCAACTCTTATTTCTTTAATTATATCCTGATTAGTAGTTCTTTGATTTTAAAATATAATATATGAATAAATACTAATTATAGTTTTTAAATTCAGTATGAAATTGTGAGGCCAGCTATGATGTATGGTTCATAGTGTTGGGCGGTTGATAAGAAAGTAGAGCAGAGAATAAGTGTAGCAGAGATGAGAATGCTTAGTTGGATGAGTGGAGTGACTAGAGAAGATAGGATAAGGAACGAGCATATAAGAGGAAGTATNAGGAACGAGCATATAAGAGAAATTAAATGTGTTGCGTCAATCGTGGATAAGATGACAGAATATAGACTTAGAATATACACTTTAATGATACAATAAATAAATAAACTCACACATAAACACATATGCATTTATAACATTGTGTCTAATGTAAGTATAACATGATAAAAAGTAACCGTAAAATGAAAAAAATGGAATATAAATTTTAGTACTCATATTAAATGTAATGTAACTCGANAAATTTTAGTACTCATATTAAATATAATGTAACTCGAAAAATATTTGTTTAAATGAAAAACTATAAAATAATTTGTTTGTTTATAATTGTTTTTTAAACAACTTT